TGACGATCTACAGCTTTGTCATAGCCTCCGTCTTTTCGTGGCAGTTTCTCGACGTCAAACAGAACTATGCGCATCGATTGGTAGACCTTTATATTCCAGTATTTGGCATCTTGCAATTGATCTTCTTCTTGGGTTGGCTGAAGGTGAGTCCCATGCTCAGTCGATGTCATTTTGACCTTTCGTGCAATCTACTATTGAGTCAGAAAGAGTAAAATATGATTAGCCACATTGGAAGTACCTAATCTAATTGTTTGGTGTTTTATGGCTTACATTTTAAGGTGGCAGAGGCTCTAATTAATCCCTTTGGTGAAGATACTGATGATTTCGCTATCGATGAATATATTAAGCGCAATTTGCAGGTTCGTTTTTCTTAGCCTCGTTATTTTTCCAAATTTTCTTGGTGATATAGAATGGCGTGGTTTCTATCACTCTACGCAAATATTAATTAAGCCTAAACAGTTGAGACTAAATTGTTCAATTTTTAGTGTTAAACATGAAACAGGACTGAGTTTGCACAGTATTAGCTCGTCACCGACTCCGGCAATTTTTCGCAGTAAAGGAAAGAGATAAATATGGTGTACCTTATAAGCCCAAAGCCTCATCTGAATTTCAAATGTTCCGACGGAACACAGTCGGGAACAAAGAGATAAACGGTCAAAATTTCCACTTAAGGAAAGGATAAAATACACAAACTGCATGCAAAATTTTACAGACTGGATCACTCCTAAGAATTAGCAGTTTTAACCTTTGAACTGACACAAAGGCCTAGACCATCCGATGTGCCTAGTTGGAATGAAAGTGAAAATGGCAGATACCTTAGGATAGATATCCTCTTTTAAAGTGATACTCCTCTTTGGACTTTTTACAGATTGGTTTCTAAGTGCATCTAAGGATGACAACCTTTCTTTGTTCAGTCCAAAAGTCATCACTATCGTGTTTATTAACTCCTCTGCAAAGTCTTTTAAAACTTCTTGAGCCGTGCACTTTTTTAAGATTACGAATTTCCTGATTGAAAAACTGCACGACGAGGCCCCATTGCCGTGCAATGGCGTGATTTTTTCAAAAAAGGGAACCACTGAGGAAAAGATGGGAAAAGGCGAGAACAGAAATACCTCGCCTTCAGCGTTTATGTCCAATCAACACCTCTTCTCCAAGGGAGTCAATCTTTTCATCAGATCCTGCGCCAATACTGCTGTTGATGGTAATAGCAATGGGAGCGATCGCAATGTCCAAACCCATCGGACTGTATCGAGTGCTAGGTAAGCTTAACTGATTGTCTATATGTGCACATCAAGGAGGACATATCAAGCTATGACTCCGGCAATTTTCAATAAAAGCTTTCGCCTGTATGCAATTTTGGTAGCTTTATCCTTACTGCTTCATTGTAATTTTCTGTATCATTGGTACTAATATTCTCACAAGCCAGTGATCGAGGCAACAATGGGTCTTTGATGAATTTGCGAGTAGCAATTGAGTTCTTGTATTCTAAAACACTGTTTGGTCTTTTGGGGCACTAATGAATGCCGTAGGATCCCCAAAATTTTTCTTATTGTTGATAGTGAATGTAATTAAGCAATTTTTAACAAACTGAAATTGCACTATCTAAATTTTATATTTATGCATAATAATTGCATAAGTATTTTTATAACTTTTCAGCTTGCCACTATGGAGGACTTTTGCATCCGGATATCCCTCACACCCTTAAATTTACTTTCCGAACTATGAGCAAAGTCGTTCATTCTTTCACATATTCTGTAACTTCATGGCAGAATTTTGCCGTCCCCTTCTTCGCTTTATTGATACATAAAATGCATAGTCGTTCTGATTGCTTTAGCTATGAACATATTGACTACCGTATTTTAGATTATATTCCGTGATCCTATAAACAATCTTTTAGTGGAACAAAACAACTACTGTTGTGCTTAATCTAGTAGTAGCGTCAATATACATCCCATCTTTCATATTCCACGAATGGGAATGATGCACCAGGCTCTACCTTTGGTTCAAATTCCAGCTTTATAAATCGCAACAGATCATGAGTGTACCTCCACAAAACCTGACATCGGATATCCTAAGAACTACCTTAACCCTAGAAGTAGACTTTAAAATGAATGCTTCCCAATGCGCATCTAGTCACCTGACGAAATGAATGGAGGTTCAGTGGAGACCAAAAGATGAGGACAACGAGAGACAGAACGAATGTTTCAAGTGGTAACAAAAGGCTCACTTCAGTCGTCGATGTGAGGAAGAAGTGCTTAAAGGCGAAGTTTTTCGTGCTAATTTACTGTGATTCTCCCCTATCACCCTACTGAAGAAGAATGGAAACATTTGGCTGTGTACTAATTGCAGAAAATTAAACTCAGTTACAGTTGGGGAATCTTTTCTTCCACAATATATCGATGGTTTGCTGGATTCGTTATGTGGCTCAAAGTTGTCCTCAACGTTTGAATTAAAATCCGCATTTTATCAGTTGGCAATTTTGCTGACAGATAAAGAAGATATGCTTCGTTAGTATTGAGAGATATTTTTTGAACTCAGCAGCACACTAAACACATTTCAATGTTTCCCCGAAACAGTGCATTATAAACGTAGATGAATGAAACCAAAAGTTGGTCCCAAATCGACTAAAAGAGACAGTTTTGACACTAAATTCCCAAAACTTTTACTTTTAAACAGATCAGTAACATTATGAGACACCGTTCTGTAAGGCGTCGTATCAGTCGCGCAGGCCTACCGCTCACGGGTAGTAGGGATATGGGCAATAGCAACTGAATACATAGGACGTTGGAATTTCTAGTTCGCAGACACTTCGCAGAAGGTTTTGATAAATTCGTATGACCATTACATAAGCTAACGGAAATACGGACTGAAAGAGTTTGAGTGAAGGGGAGAACAAGACAAAGCCCTCAAAGAATCAAATCACAAGCTTGATTTTGTGCAGGTTACCAGATTTCAAGCCAGATGCTCAACCAATCTTCGTGCCCACCGATGGTAGCAGTAGTGCTATTCCATCGTGCAACACAGAAGTTTAGTCCCACAAAAAGGCCTCGAGATCATCGAATAAAGTCTTGTGTCCACTCTTGGGTTTCTGAGTGAATTTATGCGTCATCAATGGGGAGATTCAGAAAGCACCAGTATCATTACGGCTCTGGAGTACGAAAGGTTTATTACGACCATTGACAAAGCTACCTCAAGCAAGGCGTCATCAATGGTTGGAGACGATGTACACATCGTATAGATATGTTAAATTTCCTCTAGTAAATACAGCCCTCGTATACCAAGATCGGATTGGAGCACACGGACGACCAACGGTCCCGGGTTTATAAGGAATTAAAGATCTTGTTAGCCTAGAGAGGGACAATTAAGCCACGGAAAGGATAAAATTGATAAGCGCCTTAAACTAATTGCACTGTCATGGAATCTGTAGTATCCGTAATAGTTTGAAATGGACTACACCTTGGAGTGGTTGCACTACATCAATTTATGCGGTCTGCCGAAAATAAAGAGTGGGAATATATGCATCGTTGTAATTGTGAATTATTTCTCGAAATTTGTCAAAGATTAGCTTTTGGGAATTCCATGCTCCAGTAATGGGACTCGTTTTCTTTAATTTTTGAACGTCCCAACTCTGGATCACCTAGGTTGAACATGGCGAACAAGGGATGAGATTCAATTAAACGCAGCATCATGAGAAACCTCGAAGGCCTTCGCGACATCTGCAACAATTGGTTACATGTAAGGCGATGATCAAGTGAAAAGAGCTATTAGTACAAATAATAGGGGTCCTGAGGACATTCATCAAGAAACTTCAGCTCTGCGCTAAATATATGTTTCGCCCAAGTATTTTGTCTTCTTTCGTCTTCAGGGAGTCTTGGGACGATACAATACTACCAGTTTTTCAAACGAGAACAATCAATAAAAAGAACTGTTCTTTAAGCTGAAACATCCTACTCCAGGGCGATATTAAAGCTAGAAAAACTAAAAAGTGACAGTCTAAATATATTCTAGTAAAACCCAAGTATTTCTCCTAATACTTTTATAAAACTTACTTTCAAACAGAACTCAGTATGTGGGAGAGGTGCCCATGATATTATTTTGTTGACTGAAGGTTATTCTGAAGAGGGTTATTTTTTGTGTACATTTATACTTAATCCTCTTTTATTTTTTTCCTATACTTTTTTCCTGTTAAATTTCGGGGATATGTTCTTAAATATTTCTGTTTGATTAAATCTTGTAAGCACACTTAAAATTGGGTTCCTAGGAAATAGACCTTATGTTTAATCTCAATCAAATTTAATGCATTTTACAGGGAATATTGGAACTTATTTCTTGCGCAGTATGTTCAAATATGATTAGCGTCCTAGAGATCTGGTGAACTATTCGAATATTGATGCGACGGCAGGGGAGGTATGGGAACTCCCATTCAGTATTCCACGACAAAGAAAGGTAACACCAGTGCACTATTCTATTTTATGACGGCCGACTTAATTCGAATCTTGCCCTAGCCTGTACTTTGGATATTTCTTTAATTGGATTACGCTCGATCGATAGTTTGAAACCTTTGCCAGTATGTGGTCATTGATTTACATCACTAAAGGATATACTTCATCTTTATGCTTTCAAAAATAATCTTGGAAGCGTCGAAGGCTTAAGACAGTAATTGACTATTTGGAAGCCGTGCTGAGACCATGTTATCTTAGTTTTGCGAATTTGGTAGTGATAGATCTACATAATAATCAAATAAGTTGTGTCGCTGGTGCTTTTACGAGCATGCGTGGCTTGAAGGAGTTGCGGCTTGACAAAAATGACTTGAAATCAATACTGCCCGAGGATGTGCAAAGTTGTTCAAACCTCACCTATCTCAATGTTGGCTTTAACAAACTAGACAATGTAAATGTAAGGAATAAATGCGCCACTCAGTGTATCCAAGTTCTTGCAGTCACTTCCAAATCTAGAGTTTCTTGATGCTTCCAATAATAACTTACGAGATATATCGGCTCTACAGTTTTGTGGAAAGGTACGTCTTGTACAACTTTCAACAATTTAGCTAACCCATTTGTACATGTCCGAAAACAAAATCGAAAATATAAAAGATCCACTAGCCAATCTGATTCACCTTATTGCAGTTGATTTTGCAAATAATTGTATCAATTCCTTAATCGGACTGGGAGCTTGTGAGTAAGCGCACAATTCCTTTCGTCAATGATTAGGCATTTGAAGCATGTTAACTTTGCAGGGAACGGCGTCGATTCCCTTGTTTCAGCTGCACTGGCTTTTCCCAACTCGGAATACCTCAATTTTAGTCGAAATCGTATTAAATATCCAGACGAAATTTTGGTATTGAAGCTCACTGCTTTTTCAATACTTGTTGGGGGCAATTTTGCATTTGACCGTTATTAAGATAACTAGGTGATGACATGGTAAAATCTTTTTAAGTGCTTGGTGTAAATGTTTTATGATCCACCCTATCAGTTCTAAAATGTGCGTTCACTGTCGTCCCGATTTGATATCCACTTTTAAATATTTCCTGCAGCATAATCTCTGAGTTGATTGTATAGCACGCTACCACTTTTTGATTGCATCGAAAAGAACACCTCAACTAGTTATATAATATTGTCATGACTTTTTGCTACTTTACCAACATTCATTTTCGCTTTAAATACACCTCAGACTGCTCTTAACTATCTCGCCTGTTTGAAGACGCTGGCAATATATGAAAACCCATTAGAATTTAGCGACTCGACTGTGTCTCAAGTTGAATTCGAAGGAATCATTGAACAGTTTAAATCAGGTGCCTCTCCCGTAAATATTTTGGTAGTACTTATTTGTGGCATGTTGTTAGACGCATTTTTATCCGAGGGAGTTTTCAGGAGTACCTAAGAATGCTCTAAGACCTGACGTCACCGATGGAGGTTAGCTTCTGTCCGATTATTTAGCTGTGCTCAACATTCTCTCAACATATCCTTGAATGCAGAAATTATAGAAGATATTGAAACTCGATTCCTATCGTTAGAGGAACTAGGAGATCTGTTTACTAAACGAATTGTCGGATGGTAAGGAAAATTAAATCGTACTTAAGCTTTAAAAGTTTCAGCCGATTTCAGGAAGTGTTGGCTGAGCTGCCAGGTGAATCACTTTGGTTTGATCCATGTGATAGGAGTTCGCCTTCAGTATCAAGCGACAAAAAACTACCCGGCAGCAGGTATGTTAGATTTTACTCTGCCAGTAATTAGGCAATAACTGCTTTCTTGAAGTCTACGTTAAAACGATCAGGGTTTTTAGTACAATTCCGAATTTAACGAAGGTCAAGTCCTAACGTTGATAAATTCACATGAACTCAGAACCGCACATTATAACTAGCCAACGCCTTGAATGCCCTTTTCCCATAAAGAGGATAAAATGGTTTTAAATCTTGTCCGAAGACACCCTACTTTTTAATCGTTTGGACGTTTTACATTGTAAACAGCAATTATCTGCCAAGTCATTGATACCTCTTCACTTTGACCACTAACTAATCTTTAACAAATTAACCACGGTGGCCTAGCCGATGGGAAATGTGAAGACATACTACAACCGGACTAGAGGGGTTAGTTCCAAAATATTGATGGTGAAATGGAAGATAGTAATCCCACTGGACTTATTTTTTTAACCAAAATGCTTACACTCGGACAGAACGTCATTAATTTGGCCAAAAGTTCAAATACCACTGATTATCTTTGCTCCCATCAAACTAATGACTTTAAACAGCGAAAATCAACGGAACTCCAGTTACCCAGCTACTATTATCCTGACTTTTTCAGAAATCGGCTCCAAGATGCCTTGGATTTCGCCAGGACTGCTGGCTCTAATGAGGCCACTAAACTAGGCAACAGAGGCAATGAGGACTAAAGGCACTGTAAAATACCCTAATAAAGCTCCCGGTTGACAAGATTTTCAATTAGTTCTCTAACAATTTGACGACTTATCGAAGTAGGCATAGCCATAGACTTTCGACACATGGGAGGAATAAATGAACATCATAAGATTATGCCCCCATCCAGATAAAGTCTCCTAAACTTGGCAAACCTAACCTCGCCTCACGAAACGGTCGGTGATGTTTACTGATAGAGAAGGGACGACAGGCCAGACTTCAACGCTTGTATTGTCCCTCAGTGTACCCCTAGGGGTACCTTTTGATATAAAAACATATATTTCAAATTGCACATGCATAAACGGGCGCGTGCGCGTAATTACACAAAATAAATAGGATTTGTAAAAAAATATGTGTAAAGGGGAGGGTAGGGTAGGGGTTACTCTGAGTCGAGGAGGACCTCGACCACCTTCGCGGATGACCTAGATCGCACTGCCACAGTAGGCTGGACGGATCGGGAGGTGGAGAGGGGGAGGACGGTGGAAGATGAGGGGGAGGTCGGAGCTGCGATCGGTGGTGGTTGTTGCTGCTGTCCCTGCTGGGGGATTGTCGACTCCTCGATTAGGAAACGCGGTTGAGCGTAGTCTACGCCATCACATACTAGGACTGCCGGCAGGCCAGGCATATCCGCATACAAATCTTCCAACAGTAAATGCAAATCGAACACGGCTAGGTGGAACAAAAATAAGCCCATTTAACATATTTCATTGCAAAAGTAATTTGGTGTACTGGTGAAGTCTGTAAAAAAAACCCAATTCTGAATCCACCACAGAGTGGGACAAATTGAAGCCTAGGATGTTTGAAATTATTCTCATTGAGCACCATTTCGGTGGCTTACGATGATACTTATTTTGATGAAAATAGAACAAGTCCCGAGCATCACTGGTATTGCTGTATTCAGGATCTTCTCCTGGATCAGAAGGATTAGTAGGTGAGTGGGTGTTCAACAAATGCTATAAATATTTTTTGAGAATAGCAGAACACGAGGAGAGTTGTGCATTAGTACGAAGGGATGAATTTAAGGTCTCACCTCGTTTGACACCACTAGCAATTTCAGGATCGTTGGGCACTTTTATGCGCTTGATGGGGCCCATCTTGGCAAGGCACTTGGACAACTTGACGAGGAGACGTGTGTTCTCCTGGACTAGGGACTCCGGTGGGTCAGGTGATTTATCGGCCTGTGTTTGCCCTTGCACCGCCAGTACGACAGCGGCCAAGGCCTGTTCCACCATCAGAGCATGCTCCAGCATCCGCAGACGATCAGTTAGGAAACATAACACCTCTGGTGAGAAGATATGCGTTTCACGCATCTCCTTTGCCACGTCAGCTGGCGGGACAAACAAGGGAGAGGAAATATCACGCTAAACATACATTGTATTAGCGATGATTAGGGCTAGTTTTAGGCTCATAACACTTTAAAGGTGACTAGGGTGGTACACTGGTTGCGGCGCTTTTGAACGCGGGGGATTAATAGCCTCAATCTCGCTGACTAACTCAATGAATGGCCCACAACGGGAGGAGCATTGAAACCGCGCCGACTTTAGAAAAATATGGGTTAATGAAGGTTACTTGTGCAGCAGTAGCTGACGAAGACTAGAACTGAACGAATTTAAACCATACACAAGGTGCTTATAAAGTGTCTTCCAGCGGTGTAAGAGATGGAAAAAAAAACCGAGCAAGCGGCCATAAAGGAGAAAGCAATACAAAAAGTGGCAAAGTGAAGTCACTTTACAGGAATTTAA